AAAAAAACTACACCTAAAACCAACAAAAAAACCCCCACAAAAGAATCACCAAAAACACAACAAAAAAGAAAAACCATCTGGGAGGGGGCCAGGTTGCATGTGCGGGGTGGTTGGTGGCTCCAAGGTGCCTCTCGTGCAAACCCGAGCCGCTGCTGAAATGCCCTGGTCCCCCCAGGAACGGGGCTCCCAGGCTTGGTTCCCCTTTTCTTGCGTGTTTCTGCTCTGAGGTTATGGTGAAGGAGCAGCCTGGTGTTGTACGTGCGCTCGTTGCCAGGTGGGACTGCGGAGAAATTCTTCTGCTTCCCAGCCAAGGCAATGAGCCTTGCTTCCCATTGCAATCACTGTTTCTTCTTACTGAGGTTGGTCGGATGCTTGAGTTAAAACAACGATTTACAAAATTCATTTTAGGACAGCTTTTCTGCTTTGTTTCTTTTAAGCCATGTTGTGAATTGCTGTATATATATATATATTTTAAGCTAAAATTTTCCTGCTGTCTCATCTCTTTGTAGTTCTGGAGTACAGAAAAAAAAAATTACTCATTTTCACAAAAATAGATTGGTTGAATGACTACTGTCACAGCTATTATGCTGGCTATGGTGATTTTTATTAATCTGCCTTATATTTATTCTGGTCATTATTTGGTTTTTGCCAAAAAGGCAAAACTGTTTGCTGACGCCGTTGGGTGACTGATGGCTCCTGAAAGATGGAGAGGTTCCAAGGGAGAGGCTTGTTGCCGTCTGGAACGGCGCTGGTTCTAACCGCCAGACTAACGGCACGCCTGCAGATTCACATCGCTGCGGGATGAGCCTCTCGTCTTGGAAAGCTTCTTACAAAGTTGTTCCGCCCAGAAAATCATCTCATCCTGCACTTTACGGTTTTTGTTTCTCTTAGTTTTCCTGCTCAATGGTAGGTCCTACAGACAGGAAAAAAATAGTGAGCTTTTTGGGGTGTGGTTTGTTGGTTTTTTTTTTTTTTTTTTTCCAGTAGAAAAATTAACTAGACTTAAAGCTGAGAAGGATTTCAGTATTCTTTTACTTTGAAACCATCTTTTTAAGTCCACAGTCAGTCTTCTGGGAGGAAAAAACCTCCATCCCAACGTCATTATGGTCTGCACGCTAGACCCTTAGCTGCAGGTAGCTTCGAGCAGCGTTCACAGGGTCAGGAGCAGCAATGCGACTGTTCCACTGCCCTCTTATCGCAGGTGAAACTTCTTATCGGAATGCCTTTAATTCTTTGGCACTTCTCATCCCACTTGGGCTTTGAAGACAAACGTGCAATCCTGCCCTCCTGGCACGAGAAGGGTCCTTCTCTCCCTCTCTGCCCCTGTCTCTGCTTCCTACCTGCTCTGAACAGCCCACTCTGCAATAGCAGGGATTTTTTCGTAGTAGATGTCATTGTTTGGAGTTCAGACTCTCTGGGCAGAAGTCTGGCTAATAAAACCTGCTTTGGAGTTGCTTACGGTAAAAAAAAAAAAAAAAATCCTGGCATTCCTATCTCTATGGATTACGGGGGGGCTGGAGCCATCGCTGCGGGCACTCGGGGGGGTTATTGCGTGGTGACACCTTGGAGAGGAGGGGAAAAGCCCCTTTAGTGCAGAGAAATCTTTTGTAACCCTGTGAGAGAGAAGAAAGGAGCGCAGTCTGGCTCCAGGGTTGTTGGGGAATAAATAAAAAAAATAAAAAAAAAAAAAAGAAAAAGAATTTGAGACCTGAATGGCCTCTCTCTTTGGGGAGATGTTTGTAGCTGTGAGAAACAGGGAGACCTGTTGAAAGGTGTAATCAGAGGGGAGAGAGCGGTCTACAGCCTGTTGGGGCTCAAATCTCAGTTCTTAGAATAAAATCTCAGTTCTCAGAATAAAGCCCCTCTTCTCAGAATAAAAATCCGTCCTCAGCAAGTGCTAAGTTATTTTTCTCTCCTCTTTTTCACTTGTCCCATGCCTTCAGTTCTGCCCTGAATCAAGTTTCGAGACCTCGATTCTCACCATGTATTTTGCTAGTTTCATGGATTCAGATATTTGTGCTGTTTAGATAGAACCCACCTGTGACGTCTGTTTGTGCCTCCCCGTTAGGGAAGAAGCACGCCCAAGATGAACCGCATCCTGCTGACCGCCTGCATGGTCCTGGTGGCTTTCTGTAGCTCTGGTGAGTACAAGGGAGGCACTTTCCTGATGGGATGTTACAACAGGGGCTGAGGAAATCATGGAAAAAATGTCAGAGAAGGAAAAATAACGAATAAGGCTTGCGTTATTGAATACCGCTTTGGGGAATGACGTAAGTCTTGAAGGAGGGTTTAGTTTCTTTGGTCAGATGCTGGAGATGCTGCTGCTTCGTGTGGCAGCCGACTGTTGTGGTTTGCTGCTGAAGGCTGGGTTCCTGTTGGGTGAATTGGGAACTCGGTGGGTAGCACGAGAGCGAAGTGAGATGAAATACGAAAGAGAGGGAAGAAAATTCTGCTGAAAGCGTCTCTTCTTGTCTGTCCTTCTGGGAAAGGCAATCTTGAAGAGCAGATGAAAGAAGCAAACATTTAATGTATTATTCTGCAGGGTCATAAAGGTAAGTGCTTTTAAAATGACTTAAGTGTGGGCTTCAAAACCTTCCTTTCCAAATAGCCGGTCTCAAGGATTGTAGATTTTTAGCATGAGTCTAACAACCAGGCATATGCTTTGTGACCGTGTGACCATTAGATGCAGACAGTGGTTCGGTTTTTTTGTTTTTTTTTTTTTTTTTTTTCCTTTTTAATGCTGCTACCGTTCCCACGCTTTATAATTCAGTGAACGCAAACCCTGTCTCCTCAGGTTATGCCCTCAGGTGTTACCACTGCGAGAACAGCCCTTCCTTGTGCAAGACCAACAGCACTTGCTTAGCGTCTGAAGATACTTGCCTGCAGATGAAATTTGGTGGGTATCCTGTCCCACGGACCTCAGACAAACGCGGTTCGATCAGGCTGCGTTGCCTGGGTGCTTCTCATCTGGCCTTAGCCTGCATGTTCTAGCCTCGCTCAAAGGAAGGGTGCGGATACTCTTGAAGGTCGTGCTTATAGTAAATTGATGTATTTTGGCTTCCAAGCAACTGATAAAGATAATGAGGATTTGGATGGCTGATTTGTGCTTGTACAAGCATATACAGATATCTATATATCCAGATTAAAAAAAAAAAAAACCAACAAAAAAACACCAAAAACCCCAAAAAACCCAAACCAAAACAAAAAAACCCCAAAAATAAAAATAAACAACAAAAACCTCGCCACCTAAGGGAGCTGGGAACAAGTAGCAATGACTTTCAAATACAAAACTTTTGCCCTGAACTTGTTACGCTTTAAAAAGAGATAAAGCATGTGTAACCCTGAAAATAAACCTGCAGGTGAAGACTCAGTCCTTTACGAATTGACGCTGTTAAATAGAGGGTGAAGTCACCTGCATCTCGGGAAGATGGTCAGGGATATTCAGGGCATAGAGGTACTGCTCTAGTTGTTACATAAGGTTTTAAATAACTCTTTTACTACAAGTGGCAGGAGTTTCATTGGAAAACCAGAAGCACCGAGTCGACTGAAATAGTCTCCTGGGAACCAGGATGGGATGGGGCTGCTCTGTTCCTCAGGGTGGTCCCTGCTAAAGCTCATGACTTGGCATGGAGGAAGGAAAGCTGCGAATTTTAAAAGGAATTTTCCCTTTTGCTGTTTCCCCTGAGCCTGAACCTTGCTGAACACAAACCGTAGGCGCTCCAGCGCGCAGCCTGCGGCGGTTGGCCCTTGGCAGAGTCGGGAGTGTCCCGCTAGGGAGGGTGGAAGATGAGATGTTTGGTGTCTGGGGGAATGAGGGAGGCAGGGTGGGTTGGAACTCACTGATCTTTAAGGTCCTTTCCAACCCAAACCATTTTGTGATTCCACCCTGTATCTCCCAGTGGGTCACTGGGACTGAATTGGGAGCACTGGTGAGCTTGGGCTAGAAATCTTTCTTGACCTGCTCTCTCTCTCTCTACCAAAAATGGTATTGCTTTCAATATTCTCTTAATCCATTTAATTTATTTTTTTTCTAGGTAAATTGAGAACTTCCTCCTGCTGGAAGGCATCCCAGTGCAGTATGAACGATATCGCTGAATTCTACCAGTTGGATAATTTTGAATTCTTTTGCTGCCAACACGACTTGTGCAACGAGAGCGCAATGACTGGGGTTGACAAAGCAGCCTTCAGTATTGCCTCCGCAGTGACCATCTTATGGATGCTCCTGTAATAATCCCCATTTGTACGCCGTACTTTCAGGCTGAAATGACACAAAATCATTAACTCTCTTTCTGAATTGTACTTCTCGCATTTCAGTTCCTAGCCGTGGGCAGAAACATTCCCTTTTACATTTAAATTTTATTTTCTAAGGTTCCATCTGTTGAATCACTGTCTCCTTTGCGGGAAGGAGACATCTACTGTTACCAGTTAGAGGGAATTCAGGTCTTCTGGCCTGTCCTGTTCATGGGGAAAATAACTTGTTATGAAGTGGTGGTATCTTGTGGAGAACCTGGGCAAACTTCAGTGGGTGGTGTGAAAGGGAAGGAATACTGTAGGTTTTATGCTGGAAAAAAATAATTTCCTGCTGTCCCATAAATTGTAATTATTTTTGGTTGGGATTTCCGTTGTTTGTTTGTTCTTGGATGCTCCTTTGTCATACACGAAGCATTGGATTTGCCCTCGACACAAGAAGTGTCAGATCATGAGTATAAACTTGCTGCAGTCTTCATGATGAGTATGGAAATATTTAGTTTTAAGGGATGTAGACTCTTTGTTCCCATCACTGCAACTTTTTTTTTCTTTTCCTTTTTTAAGCCAATGATACAACCTTGTAAGTACTGTTATTTTGGGAGAAAGCATCTACGTTTCTTAAACCAAAACCAAAATAACGCTGTAAGAGAAACACTTTCCCCTCTTTTTATATCCCTCTGAGCATGCAGACAGCGTGTGCAAGGTCTGTGGGGTTTTTTTCCATATATTTTATCCATGTCTAGGATTTTAACTAAGCATGTGCTTTGCACTGAATATTTATCGGTCTACTGAAAATTCTTTATAAAATGCTAAGGAACAGAAAAAGGGACATGTAGTTTATTTTTATTGGCTTTATTTTTGTTGAAAACAATGACGTGCTCAACCTAAGCCTTCAAGCTTCCACCTAAGAGTATTAAACAAAACCTTGCAGAACTTTCTGGTTTGACTTTTATGCAACTCTATATATGCCAATACAAAACACACGTGTATTTATATAGCATGAATAAACACCGCTCGGTCTGTATGTGCAGGAGGTCTGAAGCTGAACTATTCCGTCTGTTGCTCTGCCTCAGTGGTGGAGACGGACCCTTGACACTTCTCCGGTACCTGGGGACCCTCAGCCGGGTACAATGACAAATTCTCTTTGTTCTCTGCTGGAGCTCCAGGCATGTCCTCACGGAGCCGTGGTCCATTGCCAATGGTGTACTCTCTTTCTGTGGGTGACACCAGGTCACCCAGTGACACCAGTTCACCCAGTCACGTCGAGGGCGTTGCTCCCACTCCATGATGTGTTCTGCAGTGTATCTTTTGGGTGAGCTTATCTTCGCTATGAAAGCATCCTGGGCTCTCTCTGGTCACTCAAAATATGGAAGTCATGCTGCCTTTGATTAATAAAAATGTCAAAAAAGAAGATGTGGAGAGCGTGGTTATTTATCAGTGTGCTACTGACAGCACCTTGTGTTAGACAAGCTGAGATTCCCTGTGCTCACATCATTTGTGTTGCAGCACTTTTCCTCCACTATGTTGTCAATATCTCTCTTTTGATGGTCGGCACTTTTGATTGCCATACGGTCTGCATATGGAAAATAGTATTTTTTTTTGTTTTCTTTTTAGAAGTGCAGAAAGAAGCTTTGTATTTTGTCTGTCTGATAATAGTTCGAAAAATAATTTTTAATACTTGGTTTTTTTGATAGCCTTGAACACTTGCTTGTTTAATCTGACGTACTTCTTCCTTTGTCTTGTGGAAGCCTTGAGCACTAAGTCCTTGTGTTTTGCACTCTGGAAGGCCACTTCTTTGGTAAAGATCAACAGGAACATTGTTTAATTCTTGTGGTGAGAGTGCATGGAACAAAGTAAGAGAACTTGCAGAGGCAATGGCTAGGATAGCAAGCACCTTTTAAAAAATTACTACATTTCAAGTGGAAAGCATCCTTTTTATTCCTTTTAAGCTGAAAGAGGGGAGATTT